GGTGAGTGATCTCTCCCTGCCTTTATCTCCCATGATAGACCCGTGAGCCTTTTGTTGTATTTTCTCTCCCCTGTCCCCAGAAGAAGGGAGTGACAGAGCGGCTTTGATGGGCACCTGGCATCCAGCCAAGGTCAACCCACCACACCAGTGCAAGAAGAGCTGCTTTTTGATGATGATGTTTTTTCTGAGGCATCATGGGACAGAATGTATTGCCTGTAATACCTATTTAAAACTTTATTTCACAGCAATGATTCCAGCCTTATAATTGCTTTTAGAAATATTATGTTCTTACATTCATTTATTTGGTTCTTTGAGGCAAGTTCACCTATGTATACTCTCAACACACATACTCAATCTTTCATAATAACTGCTTCCTACTTCTACTAGTGTACTCCAGGTATTGGCCATAAAAAGTCAGGCGAGTAACTTCAGAGGGCTTAAGTGAGTGTTCAGCAAGTCTGGGCATGAATTTACAATACCCTAGTTACTCCCCACTTACTCCCCAGATGAATGCTGAGGCCCATATTTAGTCAAGCTCAATTTCAGCTATAGCCTAATGCCCAATATTTCCTTTGGCAAGATGTCTCTGGAGACCGAGGCAGCCAGCAGGAAATACAAGGCACAAGGACAAGGTGGAATTTAAGCTGGCTGCATCTCTGAACGCCTTTTTGCCTCGTACTCAAATCCACTGGGAAAGCTGAGGGTGTCTCTCTGCACTTCATGTGCCCCAGCACGTTCTTGGGGGAGCCGGCATGGGGCAGCACGCGTCCCCCGGCTCTGCATCACCCACAGAGCTTGAGCTCACCCGTGCAGAGCCGGAAAGGCTATTCCTCTCTCCTCAGGTTGCATTTCAGCTGGCAAGTTTTGCATTCAAGGTTGTACGTCATTCCTGCCACATCTGAAGTGATCTAGCAACTGCCACTCAACGGGTACAAAGGACTGGATTAGCTGTGATACGACTAAAAGCATTCTCTCCTCCTGGGAAAATGGAAATCCAAATTCAAGTCAGCAAAGTAAACAAGTGTGGTCCTCAAATACTCTAAAAGAAATTTACCTCATTGCAACCTCTTCATAGACCCTGTTTGTCAGAAATATTTATTTGCATCTTACAAGTTTGCATAGATTCTCTTACTGATAGCTATGGAGAGCATCCTTGCAGCTACATAAGAGCGACACCAATTTCTTCAACAGCAATGTTTTGTGTGTGTATTCAAAGGCACATCTATTAAAACGGAAGGATGAGGCGAGGATACTGCTTGCTGCTTCCATTAGTCTCGCAAACCAACGTGCTTAGTAAAGCGAGCTTGATTTTTTTCTCTTGTGTGTGCTGCAAACTGAACCAAGCACCCAACTCCAGCCAACTGTTTCTGTGCAAACATAGCCTGGCTTGCACAAGTGTCTGCGAAGACACATTTTCAGCCTTAAAAGCATGCGTTTTTTACGTAGAAGGAAGGCATGGCTGAGGTGGAAGGGTTAAGGGCTGCTGAGTGAGATGCCATGCATCTGAGTCATGGACCTGCCAATTTTTTGCTGAGGGCCAAGAGTCACAGCAGACCAGCCTGGCTGTAGATGGATAGGTGGCCACTCCTGCTGGAAGTAAAGTCCTTGTTGAGGCGACTACAAGCTATGCTGTGGTGGTCATACAACCCTGTTTGCTCACAGTATGTGGGCAGGCTTCCCTGGCTGAAGCTAGCAGAGACCTTACCTTGGGTTGACTTTCAGCATCCCAGCCAAGCTGGCAACCCCAGCCGTCCGCTGGTCAAATGCCAGCTCCATTTGCACTTGCAAATTAAGCACATTTGTCGGAGATCACTCAAACATGGCAACTACAAATGCCTTCTGCCATTTGGGCAGGACTTTTTAGAATAAAACTACTTTTAAACACTCCTTTGTCATGAAAGCACTCTTCCAAAAGGGAGCGGGCGTTGCAGTGGCAGCAGTAAGGGGAAGGCTTGCAGCCATGTGCTGGTGGTGGTGGCTGGGCAGGAGGTAGGGTTATTGCCATGCTCCCAGCACAAGAGCACAGGTATTGCTTTAGAAAGTTGGCTTTCACACTGGTCCCTCTGACTACACCTTCAAACAATGAGAAAGGACATTTTCATCAGATAATGATGCAAACCTGCTGGGATTAGTAACTGAAATCATAAAGAATGACTTCCCTCCTCTCTTCAAAGTAACCGCAGTGAAAAGAGATCTTTTTCTTGTGAGTTTTTTTTACTCCTTGTATCAACAGTGCTGCTTGGCAAGTACCAGAGGGACTTCTACCAGGATCATCAAAATTTTTAATGAGGGTGAATGTAGAAAGGTGTCGGTGGGTTTGACTCTGGGAAGGCTGCTGAGGCTGCTGACTCACACTCGGAGCAGCTGGTTTCACAGTGAGCTACTTGCTTTGAGAAAAGTAATTTAAGCTTCTTCCTACAGCTTGTTGGGAAATGTACATTTTCAAAGGGGCTTTTGATGTTTTGTTGTGTAATTTACTGCTGGATGAGTAAAATAGTAATAATCATACTTTATACTTGCATAGTCCTTTCTGTTTGAGGTTTTCAGAGGCTTACCAAAAGTGGGTATTTATTTCCCTCATCTTACAAGTACCTCACCCTATGTCATAACTGGAGAATCAGTGGGAGGCTTGGGTTAACGCACAGGAATTGCACCACTGTAATTGCACGGTAAAAGGATTCACTAAAAAGCCTTTAATTAAGTTGATGTTTCTCCATGCATTCTAGTTTATATTCCACTTTAGGCTTGTAAATACTTTTTTTGTCCCTGTGGAAGTGCTTCTATTAAGTGTTAAAGGTGGGCGCTTCTTAACTAACATAATTATACTGGCACAAATCCTATGTACAAATGGAGATGTATCATTATAAAGGTGCATTACGTAGGCATTGCCTATTCTTTTTCTATAAAGCACGTGAAAAGCAATTTAAGCACGTTTATAATGATGTAACACACTGGGAAAAGTGAAGAAGGGTGAATATGTCAGATTGTACTGAAAAGATAAACCAGTCCAACATTGGTATATAGAAAAGACTTCAGCAGGATTTTTATTAATTTAGTTTAACTGAATTTCAGCATCAGTTGCACTTCCACTGATTTGGGGAATTGTGTCCATTTAACTAAATAGATTTTGAGGGTCACTTAATTAGTTTGGTGCAGTTAGTGAAAGCAGATGATCCTCAAACACTGGAAGTCCAGCCTGAGCATTCTGGTCCCACATGCCTTGCTTTGACCTTCTGGAAACACATTTGTGCCAGAGGCCACAGGATACTCAACGGCGGGTCTCTGTGGCTGAATGGCCTTCAGCGCATCTGCATGTGTGGGATCATCTGCCTTAGGGGGCTAGCTTTGACAGACAGACAGGCTGACCCTTTTTACAGCATGAATTCATCTGCTGCAATTTGCTTTGGGAGGAGTAGACAAACTTTCTGCCAAATTGGGGGAAAATGAAGCATTTGGGAATGGAGAATCTCAGACCTATGAAAGATAATCGTGCAGAGATTACGGCACGGACTCCCTTGAGACTGAAATTGAAACAGAGTGTCACCAAATAGTCACCAAAATAACTTTTCTAAGCTCTCTTTTTTTTTGCTGGGGAAGAATCTGCCCCTCAGCATATTCATGGGCATATATACACACATATGGTGCTCAGACTGGGAACTCAGTATCATGACCACGGGCATCCTGAAATCCTGTGTTTGATTTTACCTAGAAAGCCCTGGGACTATAATGCCTTGCCTTGCGAACTGGAATATTTTCAAGACAGCTTTTATCCCTGTGGTATAAAACACTAGGTCACAGCTTCATGCACAGGGAACTTTGTAACTGGCTTCCCTTTTTGGTCCTTAATAGATTTTGCTAGCTTTCTAGTCATGCTGAATTTGTATTAATGGATATCAATTTTAGAGTGAATTGATCAGATTATGAAAATATTTTGCTCTGTTGCTTGCAGAAAATAAAATAGTCACGTAAGAGAGAAAGAGAAATTCCCAGTTTTCCATTCGTATTTTCCCTAGCTACTTTCTCTCTTCCCAGCAAGTAACTAGGTAAGATGGTGGAGTGGCTGAAGGTGGTCTTTCTGGGCACTTATTTACTAGGGCTTATACAGCTTGGGTCATATTTACAACATTACTTACAATTATCCTGCAAAGAAATTGCTTTATACCATTAGCTTCTGAGGTCATAGTTAATGATACATATTTTGAGACTGTATCAAGGTCAGTGAGAGTTGGAGACACGCACTTTCATTTAATAAAGTGAAGATTGCATAAAGCACGCCATAACTGCTTGTTTGTTTAATGCATCATATTTTGATCTGGCACCACTTGCTTCTAATCTATAAACGCTCTTTACTTTACCCTCTATGTAGCAGTTTCAAAAGGAGCTAAGGTCACGTAATTACGTGGCCATTTTGAAAGCCTAGCCACATGACATGTCTCAATAACATCCTGTGGCAATAAACTCAACAGGTTGAGCATAATATATTGTAACAGCGCTTTTCTCCCTTTTGGCTCCAAAGTCAATGCCCTTAAATTGCCTACAAGAAAAGAAGAGGGCACTCATTCAACTGCTGCCTTTCTTTCTCTACTTTGATGGTTTTATCCAGTCTAGCGACACTGATGTAGGAATAAGCTCTTGCTGGCAACAGGCTCTGAACCACAGAGCTACGATCGACAGATGAACAGAGACTAATTCTCACATGTAGATGCCTAAAATGTGAAGGAAGCAGTTCTTAGATGATTTAAAGTGGGTATGTGGTGCATACATTGCAAAATGAGAGTTTACTGGAACAACCCTTGCTTTCTCTGTGATACATACATTTCAGATGAGTTCCAGTATTTAATAACTCAAAGCCAGCAAGCTGGTCATTTTTCCCATACCAGTCCTAAACAACATGCATCCAATTGCTCTGTTCTTAATTCCTATGATGAGGTCTTTTTTCAGCATTAATTCAGTTATCTTCTTCTCTCCTCAGCTCCAGTGGCTCAGAATTTTCTTTAAATCTTTGGATTTGGCTGAAATTTTCTATAACCAGCCTCAGTCTCAGAAATTATCCTGAAAAGTTTGAGTCAAATCATGTTAAGAACCCTTTTTTTTTTTAAATTTCATTTGGTTTTGTTGATTTCTTAGTTCAGTGGATCTCAATGCGTAAAAAAATAGTATATACTGCTGTTTCCAAATTCCAGGTTCTAGAAATTCAGCTTCTTTCCCTTTTCTGTAAAATGCCATTCTCAATAAAAAGACAGCCTAAATTCAAATTTTGTAAAACTCTGCACTCCTCAGAAGAGACATCCAGCAACTCTAAATTCTGAATTCCATTCCAAAGAGACATTTTTGAGACAAAGAGGAAAAAAGGCACATGCCCCTGCAGCGTTTGCAGTGCCGCGATGGTAGCAGTGACCTAGCATTACTAGTCCTGTTTCTATCCTACGCCTCCTTTTGCCTTACCTAGTTCACCATTACCTCTCAGCAATCATACAGCTATCTCCAGCTTGCTGAATTTCTTCATTATTTTTAAAGGAAATTCTAGATGATCAATACAGTGAGCAAAGGCTCAAAGCTTTCAAAAGAAACTTTCAAAAGAGACTCTCAAGAGCTTTCAAAATGTTAACTCGGATGCATTGCAATGCTATAGGCTTCCATTTAGTCCCTATGATGGACAAGCAGTCACATATTCTCACGTTAGGAGAAGGAATTTAGGCGGCTTAATTTGACATCCTGGAGTTTTGAATCGCTCTGTGCAGGTCCCACCATCCAGAGACTGTGACTGCACAAAATTCCAGTATTTCCTTTTCTACAAGGGGGCAGACTTAACGGCACAAGAGCAACCTTAGAGTAAACCCTGTATTCTGACTGTTTAGTAAGGCTTCATGTTCACTTAACATGTTGCTAATGCAGATTTACCATAGGAGAAATATTAACAATAATCTTTGAATTGTAATTGCTGTTAATTGTTTCTCTCCCCTGGATCTCTAGCACATAAAGAAGAGGATGTGATATCTTATACCTGGTTAAAAATTAGAAAAACACAACAACTAACAAAGTCCCTGGAGCTGCAAAAAACTCTCAGACAGAACGTGGCCAGCTTCCTCCTATATTTGCTATTCTAAAGAAAGACCTTCATGTCTGCAGTAATGATGCTGAAGGTCAGATATGATATCAGGCATCCAGAGATAATGCACAGTAATTTATTTTCCTTCTAAAGGACTAATTATTGGCATGTTCAAGGTGGGCTAATAAACAGGGAGCTTGAGGTTTTGTGACTGATTATTTACTTGGGTATTATCTCAGATCTTTCCTGAGCAGTTAGGTTAAATGGGGAGTCTCTCTTGTTCTGTCCTTGAACAGGAGTTTATGATATTCTATAATTAAGACTGCAACTATGTTTTCATTTTAAATTAGATGGCTGACATTTTGTTAACATTGTTACAAAGGTCCTGCCTGAGTTTAAACATGCATGTCATCTACGTGGGCGTGGGGGAAGATGGAAGAGTAGGATAACTTGTTGCTAAAATTTGATATGGATTAGAACAGGCAATTTTGACATTATGCAATCTTTTACAGTTAAGGACTTTGACCTTTTGGCTAAATCTTATGTCAGTCTTTAGTATCTTAGAAGCACAGAACCTTAACATTGGGTTTGTTATGCATGTTTGACAGCAAAACTAAACACATGTCTAGCATCGCAATTTGCTAGATTGTGTATTTGCAAATTCCACGTTTGCAATGACTGAATGTTAAATAGACTTCCTGGGGTTTGCTTTGTTTTGCTATTGCAGTGGGA